GGTTCATGAATCGGCCCGGGTTTTGACCATGTCTAACATGGATGTGTGTGTATATTAAAAGAAAACATTAAAATTTGGATATTTTTCTAATATATAAATAATTAAAACTTATTTTCTATGCTATTTTAGTTAAATTGATAATATTATTTATTTATTGAAAAAAATATACTTGCAATCCTTATATTTTTATGTATGTAGATAAGTTTTTGAAATGTTTATAATGTTTTACTTTGTTGGCTTTTAATTTTAAATGGATTTAGTGATCTATTAAATTGAGTATTTAGTTTGATTATTAGATTTTTAATGTTAATTTTTATTTTATTTTATCTTTTCTTTTTTTTTTAATCACATATTTTTTTTCTTTATTTATTTTGTTCCTAAAAAACATTGTCATTTTGTTAACTCTCATCAACAAAAACACTATGCAATGATGTAAAAGTTCAAGTTAAATCAAATTTTCAATCAAGAAACTTATTTTTTCGTAAATTATAGATGTTGATCTTAAATTATAAATAAATAAAATCTCATATTGTTTTGTTTATTTTTTAAATGTTTGAGGGTGATACAGATTCTCTAAGTTTTTAAAAACTTGACGATATACATTTCGATATTTATATTTATAACTAAACACATTTTTATATGAAATGAGTGTTTCGACTTAAACTACAAGCTAATTATTTAACATTTAATTAAATTGGGTCCCCTAAATAAAAATCCTAAATTCGTCCATGAATATACATGTTTATACTATCAAATATTTTTTTTCCTGCTCTTGCTATTTATTAAACATATAATTTTCTAATAAAATATGTATATTTTTGAAATATATATATATATATATGTATATATATATATATTATATCAACGTATCAGAAAAATAATTTATCGCATAACCAAAACCACAATTATTCAATGGTTGTGCTTAATTATTCAATGGTAAATGTGTTTTTATTTCTCATAAGAAAGTGAATAATATAATTGATAGTAATGAATGGGATTACATGAATTCGTAATAACATTATTGTAATACAAATTAAAAAAGTTGATGCAACGTGGTAATAAATAATTAGTACTGAGGAAATGAATTAATAAATAAATAAATTGTTGTACCAATAAATAAATAAATAAATAAATTTGGTGTTTTCAAAGTCAAAATGGTCACGTAGGGTTTTGAGAGGCGGTGGGCTTTGACGCTTTTATTTTTTTTCTTTATTTTTTTCTTTTTTTTTTTCAAATAGAAAAGAAAAATTATTTGTTATTCTTAGATAATGAGGCCCAAATTTTTATGAGGTGTTTGCATGTTCCATTGTGCAGAAAATGAATGCCATTTGCAAAGTACACGGTAATTTAATAGTAAATTTTATAACGGGATATATTATATAAATAGGTTTATATTTGAATCTAGTAGCAATTTAATGTAGTTATATAGTCGAATAAAAAAAAATAAGGATAAATTTTGAAGCATATAATATACTTATGTGATAAATAAGTAGTGGATTCTTGAAACAAAAAGTATTAAAGATAATTTTTTTGGGAGCTAAATCGACACAAAATATAGCTTGGTCTCATGTAGGCTTTATGTCATGGAAATAATTAGTTAAAATTGCAAGATATGTTGAATAATTATCGGGAATACAATAAGTCTGTTCTCATGCATGTGAGGAAATATTGGTTCTTATAAAAATTTAATTATGGTCAGTATATTTGTTGACAACCGACCTGGTCAGATCAAACTTGAAGGAACTAAATACGAATTAAAAGCAAACTTATAGCGACTCGGCTAGATCGGACAGAAAAACCGACTTCATCCCTGAACCAGCAACCGACCTCTTAAGAACCGAGGTCTCCTTCTAAGATCGGCATCCAACGAAACCGAGTTGGAATTAAGCTGATGACAAGGTGCCTACGCAGCGAAACCGCACACCACACGTATCGTCATCATTTCTGTGGGTCCGCCTGCAGAAAACCGCCTCATAAAGGCGCTTTGTATTAAATGCGGCCGTACCAACTTCGAACGACGAGCCAACAAAAGTTACTATAAATAGCGGAAATTATTCTTGTACAAAGATCTGATTCCGATTCCGATTCCGATTCCGAACTTTACATATAAGCATACAAAAAAAAAAATCCGGTTCATACGAAAACCGACTTCCTGTGACGCTAAATCATCCATTAATAATACAAATTTCTCGCATTTTACACGTTAATTCCCCCCGATTATAGTTGTTAAATCCCACATAACAACAACATTATTGCAAGATACGTTTTTATTTTATATTTTTTGAAATTATTCACCATTGGATTTATATTATGCAATACAAATCCCTATAAAAGATTATAGAAAATGTCCACCAAACTCACGTCACTACGTGGAATGTTTATGATCTAATTAATGACCAAAATTTGCAATTTGCATATATGTAATTAATCAATATAATCAATAATAATAAATCATAAAGTGTTTATTCTCATTCATTTATTTATTCAAACCCCTTTAATAAATACTAATTAATACTCCATAATAACTATCGAATTTGAACGTATTAATTGCAGTATTTGACTCCAGGGCCAGGGGGGTGGTGCGCATTGATAGAGGCAAAATAGTTGTACGTAACACAAGGAAAATTGGAAGGGCGTTACGTTGTTGTACGTACTTAGAGATAGATTTGTCATCAATGATTTCATTATCCAATAAAATATCGCAAATACTTAGGTGCGTCTTGGCACACCTAGCAAGGTGTGCCGAGACATTTTTAAAATGAACATGTTTTTTTTTTTATATACAAAAATTTCAGATTGGGATGGGAG